CATTTTAGGTCTTAGATTTTGGGCCAATTTTGCCTTGAGTTCTTTTAATTTGGTAGATCCTTATACCTTGGTTTGTGCTAAAGCAATAGGCAAGGTGCAAATCTTTTCTTATTCTTCTCCACAGCCAAAGGATGGGGGACTGGGAAAATTAGAGAACTCTTTCAAATAGCCTAGGAAAGTCACTTGTATTAATCAGAAACACAATGAATTCATTGTATTAAATCAGTTAAAAATGGGACTTCCCACTGGCACAATGAAAGGTTTTAAAATAGTTATTATAAAAGCAAATTTCCTAAAAGAGAACAGCTGGGAATTCTTCACTTGATTTAATGATAACTTCATTTTTAAAAAGGTGAAAGCAATAGCAGAGAGAAGAGTTTTTTCTGGACCCTCTCCTTTTCTTAAGTGAGGAGCTAATTGCTGGTATACTAATGACAAGAACCTTAGGTGTTAGTTAGCCCTTCATGATTACATAGTTCTAATAGGATCATTGATCTAGAGGACTTGACAGAGTGCAACATTTGGAGTCAGGTAAGACATGAGTTCAAATCCTGCCTTACACACCACTGGGTGGGCCTCAATTTCCTCATTCTTAAAAGAAGGGAGTTGAACTAGGTGATTCCAGCTCTAATTCTATGATTTTGTGGAGCCCATCCTCAGCATTTCATCTCCCACCTTCAAGCATCTGTACAGGCTCTCCTATATGCCCAGAATGCACTTCTTCTTTATCTTTGATTCTTAGAATCCTTAGTTTTCCTTTAAGGATTAACTCAGGTCATACTTCTTATGGGCAGCCTTTTCTCATCTCCTTGGGTAGTAGTGTTCTTTCCTTTCTTAATTTATAATGTTATTTATTTGCCTGTTAAATGTTGCATCCTTCATTAGAATCTAAGCTCTTTGACGGCAGGAACTTTTTTTTTTAGTTTGAACCTAGTAGTGCTTTGCATATAGTAGTTGCTTCATAAATGCTCATTGAGTTGAATTCCATTGGAGCAATGGAGTAGCAATGGCAGAACAACTGAGAACTTCCTGGACCAAGCCTCCTATACTCAGTGGAGGAGTTTTCTTAATCAAGCAGATTAGTTCTTGGACCAAGTAAGACATATAGTCTAGGAGAAACAAGAGACAGAATGATATTGTTGTTGTTCAGTTGTGCCCAACTCTTTGTGACTACATTTGAGGTTTTCTTGACAAAGAAACTGGAGTGGTTTGCTATTTCTTTCTCCAGCTCATTTTACAGATGAGGAAACTGAGGCAAACAGGGTTAAGTGACTTGCCTAGAGTCACATAAGTGTCTGAGGCTGGATTTGAACTCAGATACATGATAAACACTTGACTACTTTTCCATTCATTCTCTTTGTCTCTAGTGATGGCTATTTAGGATTGAATGTCAGTATTCTAAAAGTAAAAAGAAAGTAGAAATCGAAGAACTATTGCAAAACCAAACAAAATAAAACACCTAACAAACTAGTATTTAGGACTTCTGTTTTGTCCCCAAACTCTTTGAGAGTGGGGAGGAAGGAGCATCATGAAATCTTAGAAACAGTAGTGCATGTCATCTCAGAATAATGACCCATTCATGCATGGGGTTGTGCTACATATCAGCAAAGAAAGTAGCCAAATCAATAAAGCCAAGGCTCCACTCAAAGCATGTTTGTTCAAAAAAGGAAAGAAAGAATGAAAGGAAGGAAGGAAGACGGACTTGTTACTGAAATTTTTAAAAAAAGATTCCTTTCTCCCACCCCTCAAAAAAGCATTTCAGGGCTCAACCAAACAGCTTCAAAATCAGACCAAAGGTTAAAGCCAGATACCCAGAAGGAACAGAGAGAAAATTGCCTGAGTTCTATAATAAGGCCAAAGGTAAGGTGGGGAAAGGGTCTACAAAGAGCAGGATAAAGATAATAGAGAACAAAACAGATAGAGGAATATGGTATTTCAACTAATTAGATAACAAGTTGCTTTGAAGAAAGATAAGCCCAAGAGTACATCTCCTAATGTGTCCCCCAACTATCTTAGTTGTGGGTTTTGATATCTCCAGAAAGAAATTCCTCTTTTTTGTGGTTGAGAAACAATAATGAGACAACAAGGTGACTCTAAAGCCAGAGGACCAGGATTCAATTAATCAATCAACAAACATTTGTCATTTACTGATAGGGAAATGGTCAAAAGATATAAACAGGCAATTTTCAAAGGAAGAAATTCAAGCTATTAACACATATTAAAAATTCTCTAAATTATAACTATTTGGAGAAATACAAATTAAAGCAACTTTGAGATTGCATCTTATACTTATTAAACTGGGGATGATGAGAAAAGTGGAAAATGGTAAATGTTGGAGGCATTGTAAGAAAACAGTCACACTTGTATATTGTTTGTGGAGCTGTGAATTGGTCCAGCCAGTCTGGAAAGCTATACCACTACTACTAGGCCCACATCCCAAAGAAATCAGAATCTTTTATCTGAAAGTATAAAATTTTTTGCTTACTGTTAGGAAATCAAGAGTGTGACTATCCCCATGAGCAGCTGAAGTGGAATTGAGAAGCAGGGCACAGGAGTTGAGGGGATTAAGTAATTGAGAGGTCAGGATGTTTGGGGGGATATCAGCACATGTATTGAATTTCCTAGCTTGAGGCTCAGAGTTGGACAGGAGAGGAAGACTGTGAGCCAGGAATCCTTCAGATAGGATGGAGAATAATTCAGGGGATTAGAGTTATAGGGGATGGAGAGCAGGGACAATAGTAAACATTTGCCACTAGAATCTGAATTATATGATAAATTTGCATAGAGTGAACTTGAAATCCAACCTCTGACTTTATTACTTGTGTGATCTTAGGTAAGTTACTTAACTTTGCTGGGCCTTGGATTTCTTATTCATAAAATGGATGGGGATAGACTAAATGACCTCTAGAAATACCTTCTAGTTCTAGATTCATATTTCTATGAATTTAGAGTTTATCATCATGCTAAGGAAGATCCTTGCTTACAAGGGTTAAATTCTTCTGCAGTTTGATTCAGGCATAAAATCATGGAATAAGGTGATGCATTGGACAGTCATAGAAGAGAATTTCTTGTTTTATTTCTCTCAACCAAGCAGCCAATGAGGGATAAATATTGCCAGGTTTCATGGAAGGAACAGTATTACAAAAGGAATTTGAGAGATGGAAGCTTTCTGAGAACCACTGAGGGTTGACTGAATTTTAATAAGTTTGAAGAATGGAAAGGAACAAGAACAGCCTGACTAGCTAGTTTAGCAACAACAATAACAACAAAATGTTTTTAAAAAGTGCCCTTTGGAAAGATTTCCTCAAAGAGATTAGGAGAAGAAGACTTTTAATCCTTAGAGTGTAATAAAGAATTAGCCATCTTTCATTGAAAAGGTACTAAATTTATTAATGGATCTGAGGAACTGCCCTACAACTATGGGCCACTAGGTGGTACCGGCAGCCCAAGGCTTAATTACACACAGAACTACTCTAAAAAGAGTGAGTTGGTAGAAAGGAGGGAAGAACTGGAGAAGGAGGGAAGACGGGGAGAGGGAGAGGGAGGAGGAGTCTTCAACTGAGCTCAGGAGAGTCACTAACTCTGTGAGTCTATATAAGGGCAGCTAGAATGGAGGTAATTGATGCTTTTGCTTTACGGCTTTGAGAATTCCTGCCTTCCCTGGTGATGGTATCTTGTTCCAGGCAAACATCACAACCTATAGATTCGAGGTGTCCTGGGAGAGCTGCAACTTCCAACAGCTGGGGGAGAAAGAGTGCTGTCTGGGAACAGAAGTAAGCGCTGAAGACTGGTAAATAGCTACAACTATCTACTGATTTGAAAGCCTGTCGGGAGCAATATGAATCAATTCTTAACTTGTAGGCAAAGAAGTGTGTGAGTAGGAGCTAGTGTGGCTAAGTGAATATTTCTTAAACTGTTCTGTAGGATATTTTGCTAGGGAATATGATTGATTGAACTCCCTTAGAAGGGGCCATGGCTAATTATTTTGCCCATATCTACTGTGTGATTGCAGCTCAATAATCTTTATTGTGATCATTCTCAATAGGAAAAATGATAAAAATCTGAACACCATTTTAAAAACAACGGGAAAACTGTGCTCTGGGTTTAGAGGGCAAAGGGAGTGTTTGGATCACAATGAGCAGAAAGCAGTTGTGTAACTGGGGAAATGAAGTTTCTTTTTCCACAAGATAGTATTTTGGGGGCACTTTCCTGCTCATGTATTTTTATGGAATGAATAAAATGATTTCTCAAGAAATGCCAAAGTAAGATAAGGCAAAATTCAGTGAAGGAAAACAATTTTTAGTCTCCACCCCGCCTCAATTTTCAAAATGCAGATGCAAACCTATGTTTTTGCAGTGATGCAAGGGACCCCAAAGGTGAATGTGATGAAGCTAATGAAATTATATTAATTAGTTATCAAAATTGTGACTTAATCTTATTTGAGAGAGTCAGGATCAATACTGAGAGAGCAGGTGCACATCTATCATTCTGGGTGGGTACTGAGAGAGCAGGTGCACATCTATCATTCTGGGTGGGATTTTTGGGAAGGGTGTACATTCTTCAGACATTTATTTCTTTAGCATAATATCTACTAAATGAGACAGAGAAAGAGAGAGAGAGAGAGAGAGAGAGAGAGAGAGAGAGAGAGAGAGAGAATGAATGAGAATAGAAGGGACAGTAATAGAAGGGACAGAAAGGGAGCAAATCTGTTCTGTTGTTTATGACCTTAATTTTCTTGTAAGTGGGGTAGAAGTAGAAAAGAAAGGGGTATCAGAAAGTCCAATTAAATTCTAGAACACATTACTATAGGCATAATCAAGATTATCAGGGATTTAATAAAGAAGGAGATATACCTAAAAAAGGAACTGTTGGGAATATTTCATTCAATTTGACTGTCTCTGCTGGCTTGAGTTTGCTTTTGTCATGTTGCTCTGTCTTTTTGGTAGGGCTGATTCTCTCTCTGGATCACATTTGCTACCCTGTTTTACAGCAAATTCACTGCAAAGAAGAGAGTCTCTTCCTCTCATGATGAATTCCTCTTTTTATCTGCACACCTTGGATGTCAACTTGAGCTTTTTGGGAGGCAACATGTCAGGACCCATGATCAAGAGCAAGTCATCACCCTGTGAGCAAGTGGGCATAGCTGTTGAGGTGTTCCTGACTCTTGGTATCATCAGCCTGTTGGAGAACATTTTAGTCATCGGTGCCATAGTTAAGAACAAAAACTTGCACTCTCCCATGTATTTCTTTGTATGCAATTTAGCTGTTGCAGACATGCTTGTGAGTGTGTCCAATGCCTGGGAGACCATCACAATATACTTAATAAACAATAAGCATCTGGTGATGGAAGATGCTTTTGTGCGCCATATAGACAATGTATTTGATTCTATGATCTGCATCTCTGTGGTGGCCTCCATGTGTAGTTTGTTGGCCATCGCAGTGGACAGGTATGTCACCATCTTCTATGCCCTGCGCTACCACAACATCATGACAGTGAAGCGATCAGGGGTCATCATTGCATGTATCTGGGCCTTTTGCACTGGTTGTGGCATCATCTTCATCCTTCATTATGAGTCTACTTATGTCATCATTTGTCTCATTACCATGTTTTTCACCATGCTGTTCCTTATGGTATCTCTATATATCCATATGTTTCTCCTGGCTCGGACTCATGTGAAGCAGATTGCAGCCCTGTCTGGCTATAGTTCGGTCCGGCAGAGGATCAGCATGAAGGGGGCCATCACCCTGACAATGTTACTTGGTGTTTTCATTGTTTGCTGGGCTCCATTTTTCCTCCACCTCATCCTAATGATTTCGTGTCCCCAGAACCTTTACTGTGTTTGCTTCATGTCCCACTTCAACATGTACCTCATACTCATCATGTGTAACTCTGTGATTGACCCTCTGATCTATGCCTTCCGCAGCCAGGAGATGAGGAAGACCTTCAAAGAAATTATTTGTTGCTATGGACTAAGAATGACCTGTGGGTTCCCTATCAAGTATTAAAAACACTATTTTTATTCTACTTCTTTTTCTCTCTCATTTCCTTTTTGGACAAAGACACATAGTTGTTGCAGAGGGGTGGTTAGTTTCATAGGCAGGCAAACTACAAATCCAGCTATGTATTAACTTTTCATATGTGCTTTCTTCCAAAATCAGATGCATGTATGAGTTTTTCCCTCTGCTTTGTTTGGAATGCTAATTTATCCTCAATTACCCATCTGTGGCTAATCCATTTAAGATGTCTATTTCAAATTTCCAAATTCCAGGCTGACTTCTTCCTTCCCTTCTTCCCCTCCTCCATCTAATGCCATTTTCCCAGATCCTTGTTGGTGTTGCTTGCTTGGAGAATGAAAACTAACTTTAGCATTGGCCCGAGCAAAACAGAATCAAGGAACTAAATCGGCTTCCTTGCAAAATAAAGAAATAACTCATGCAATACATTCTTAACCCAAATCCAAATGATTATAGGGAGAGTGTCTGTTTGTAAACCAATGGGCTAATGCTCCCCTCTCAATTAGTGTAGATAATTGAGAGCTGACTACATTTTTAAAAAGTGATCTATTTCTCCCCTAGAAACAATTTTATGACTGCTTGATGCTTGTTTGAGTTAGACATGCTTTCTAAGAGAGATAAGAGAGTACTCCTGGTCCAACTTTGCCTTGCTGAGATTTATTGTCATTATTGAAACACCTCATTTCTTTCCTCCCCACCCCCAGTTTTGTGGTTTTGGGGTGTGTATTCATTAAGTGCCTGCTAGTGACATTTTCTTGTTTCTAACAAAAAAATATGTTGTAATACTTCTTATAACTTTGACTTCTCTGGAACTCATTTTTGTTGCCTGACTCCTGTTGAATTCAGGGTTTCAGACTGACTTCTTGGGCTAACATTTCCTGGGCCTGCACCAGAAGACAGCATCTGTAAGCCCCACCAATTATACGGTGGCCCATATTTAAGGTCAAGATATGCCAGTCATTGACCATTTACTCTTGAAAATCTTCTAATTCAAGGATGATAGTTCTTGAACAGCGTGGGATTGAAGAACTCAAACTCACTGGAGAGAGTGTGGTACAAGGGGAAAAACACTGAATTTGAAATGAGAGGACTTGGGTTTGAATCCTAGATCTGCTACTGTCTACCTGCTAGATCTTCAGGAAGTCATTTAACCTTTCTGAGCCTCACTTTCCTCACTTGTAAAATTGGGGAGTTGGAAGAGATGACTGCTGAGCTTCCTTCTAGCTGTGTCTTATTACTAGAATATCAGTATTATGAAGCTAGAGGTGGTCTCTAGAGCCTTACATATCTCTATACCAAGAAAATCATTCTGCCTGTTAGGGAATTGTCTTGTTGACTAAATAAGTCATTTATTTCTAAGCTAACCACCTATTCACATGAATGAAAAGCAATTTTGCTCCAGAAAATCTTGATATGCTTATTTTATTTGTTGCATAATAGTCACTCCAGACTGGCTTTTGTTATTGGTCCAATAGAGTTGGATGCTGGGGGTGGTGGGTGGGTAGTAAGGTTATAGTTTCACAGTATTTCCTTTGGGTGTCCAGCTACCATATGGTTAAAGCTTTCCTCCATGGTTCTTCCTGATTTGCCATAAGATCAGACCTTTTTATTTTCAGGCCCTTATAGAAATTCTCAAAATGTATTTTAGTATATAACTATGTAAATAACCCAGAACCTGCCCAAGACCTTGGACCTTCAGCTGGAAGGACTGGATCTATCCTGGGTAGCAATGTGAATAACTGTAAATGAATAAATAAGAAACCAAACGAAAATACATCCACTTTAAGTATTTGATGGCCTTGTGAATGAGTAATTTATGTTTCCTTGGAGCTCTATTCAGTGTAAAAATAAGGTAATGGTAAATAAAATAGATGAACTGGAAAAACCATTTGTAGTTGTCAATTGAATGTTTTTGATTTAGAGTTTATTTGGTTTTACTGAGAATTTCTCAGCACCAATGGCAACTGAGATGGTACATTAAATGTTAAATTACATTGTAGTACCTCTGTCAGCATGCATTATTTTCAGAGACACTATTTCTCCATTCAAAATAACATTAATTTAAAGAAATAAAGTAGCACATTTGTTACAAATACAGGTTGAATCATTCATTCATTTGATCACTATTTGACATTTGAAACCCTTCATACTCAGGCTCCTACCTATCTTTTTTTAGACAATTTTTCGTGGTTCCCCTTTATACACTCTATTTCAGTAAGACTGATTTACTTGCTGTTTTCTTTGTACATACTACTCCATCTCCCACCTCAGTACCTTTTTGCAAGCTGTTTCCAAGCCTGGGATGTACTTCCTCATCATCTTCACCTCTTGAAACACTTGTTTCTTTCAAGAGTTAACTCAGGAGCAGCTAGGTGGCGCAATGAATACAGCTCTGGCCTTGGAGTCAGGAGGACCTGAGTTCAAATCCAGCCTCAGACACCTAACACTTACTAGCTGTGTGACCCTGGGCAAGTCACTTAACCCTGATTGCCTCACCAAAAAGAAAAAAAAAAGAGTTAACTCAATTGCAATCTCCTACATGAGGCTTTATCTGAATCCTCCTCCATTATTTGTTCCCTTCTCCCTAAAATCACTCTATATTTACTTTGTATGAACTTTCTTTTGACTTATTCTTTACATGTTGTATCTCCTAATAGAATTTTATGTGTTCGATAGCCTTGTAAATGAGTGTTTTCTGTTTCCTTAGAACTCTACTTGATGTAAAAATCCCATTCCTTGAATTCAGAGGCTATTTCACCCTTGTCTTTGTACCCCTAGTGCCTACCCCTCTTCCTTGCTTAAAATAGGTAAGTGCTTGGTGAATGAATGAGTGATCAATTAAAAAAGTTTTTTTTTGGGTTATCTCTTGCATGTGCTGGCCATTATGTAGAGGCAGTTGGGCACAACAGATAGGACACTGGAAGATCTGAGTTCAAATCCAGCTTCAGATACTTACTAGCTGCATGACCCTGAGCAAGACACTTAAGCTTTCGTGGAGTTGTATAGTAGAGATTCTTGGTCCGGTATAGATTGGATTGGTGGCCTTGGGAGATTCTTTGAATTCCAACTTGACCATTTCCAACTTCAAGCCTCAATGATTTCCCTGTCCTTGGGGATCCTATAACACTTATAGCCTACTACACAATTGAGTGTCAATTACATCCACTTATATTATGTTCTCATTTCATTTCTGAGAGTATTGTTTCCCACTACAGAGAGTAAACCTCCTCATCACTGGCATCACTACTCCACTTAGCCAGTGGAAGAGTGATCCTTCTCTTTGCTTGACGACCTCTGGTAAAAGGAATCCACTGCTCCTTGGGGCAGCCTATTCCATTTTGAGATAACTATAATTCTTAGCAAGTTTCTCCTGACATCAGATCTAAATCAGCCTCTCTGCAATCTCTTATTTATATTCTTACTTCTAGTACTAAGTAGAATTGGAGTAGAGAGAAACAGATGTATAATAAAGGCATTTTGAAGGAAGGATCTCCCTTTTCAGCAAGTTTTACTTAGCAATATTGTGAGGATCCTAAGATTAAGACCTGGAAAGGACCTTATCATTTAGTCAACTCCCTTATTTTCATGGCTATGCAAATTAAGGATTCAGAGAAGAAAAGTGACTTGCTTCCAGGCATTTAGATGGCATAGTGGATAGAGCATTGGACCTGGAGACAGGAGACCAAGTTCAAATTGAGCCTCAGACACTTACTAGCTGTGTGACCCTGAGCAAGTCCTTTAACTTCTCTTTGTCTTGGTCTCCTCAACCATAAAATGGGGGGGGGAGGGGTAACAGAATCTGCCTTGCTAGGTTGTTGTGAAGATTAAATGAGATGATATTTGTAGTGTGTTAGCAAGTAGTAGGTGCCATATAAATACTTATTTCCCCCATTCCCCTTACCACTTACTCATGGTCACATAGATAGTAAACATTTGCACCAGGATTTAAATCCAGCTGATCAGCACCATCTTCCTACAGCATGTTGGTCCTTCCCCCATACCCCTGCCCTGTTGAACAAGATTGAATTTAAAGTCCCCTGCACGTGAGCTGAGCCCCTTTCCTTTACTGTAGGAATCATTGCTTGTCTTTAGGTCTAAATCTTACCTTGTTCATAGCAGATGTGAAAGCTCCTTGAAAGAGTGCTTGGGCTTATTCCAAGCTCTTCTTCTCCGAACTTTGACTTATAACTGAGCAACACCAAGTCAGCTTAATTGAGTACTGTGTCAATACAAGGGTAATAACTGTACCCATAATCAGGAATATGTGAGGCCTCAAAGTAGAAGCACATGGTGGGGATGTAAATCAGGAAACAATATGTTAGTTTGGGTGCTTAACTCAAGGAGCTATTAATCTGGAAAAAAAAAATCCTGCCTAAGAGTTAAATTTGATGTCTTCATGAGGAGGAACCCACTGACTCCCAAGGTAGGCCATTCCACTTTTGGATCTGTTTTATTTTTGGAAAGGGTTTTTTTGTTTTGTTTTGTTTTTACATTGGACTTGTCTGCCTTTTTGTAATTTCTGCCCATTGTGCATAGTGCAGCCCTTAGTTGTCAAGCAGAACAAATCTATTTCATTTCCCATATTATAATTGTTTTTTCAAATATTTGAAGATGGCTAGCTCTACTCCTTATCTCCTGACTTTCCTTCCTCTCCACTCCTTCCTGCCCCAGATGCCTTCTCTCTTCAGCCTAAATATCCTGATTTGTAGCATCACAGAATTTTAGAGACGGAAGCAGAGATCTACTGGTTTAACAACTGGCTCTCTGGGTCGTTGGGTGGGAGTATACATGATACACTTTATTTTGTTCTAAGGCAATTGGGGTTAAGTGACTTGCCCAGGGTCACACAGCTAGCAAGTGTCAAGTGTTTGGTCTGAGGCCGGATTTGAACTCAGGTCCTCCTGACTTCAGGGCAGGAGTTCTATCCACTAAGCCACCTAGCTGCCCTCATAATACACTTTTAAGTTTAATCTGCCTTATTAAAATATTCT